CAGGTTTTGAAAAGTAAGGGTGCTGGTGAAATTACAGGCACATGGGACTTGTCAACTTATGTTTCAGGGTGACGGGTGCAGTGGCAGTGCCGCTCAAATCTTTGCAATTTAAAGCTCTGAGTGGCACTGTAATTGTTTTGGATAGGCGTGTAGCTTATCATCAGAAAGCACTACTTGTTCGTCCCGTCACTTGATATTATAAAAAAAATCATCTTGCTATGCAACTGAACTTCATGGATCCTAGCTGGTTCGTTAATAAGCTCATAGTAGTCGCCCGGATTGCTTATACTGTTTCTTTGAACAATAATTAGTTCCCAATCGTGGAACTAACATGAGTTTATATTGCCTACAGCAACAACTAATGTAATCTTTTACAGGTTTAGTTATCAAACATTATTTGACCTGAATAACCCTGAATTTAAATTCTCGTTATCGTTTTAGCTTCTTACACATTGGCTATCAGAAAGAGTACAATGTTTCTGGGAATCGACATTATTGCTGGCTACTATTGTACATCATTCCAGTCTAAAGCATATTGTTTATCAGTAGCGCGTCGTAATTTATCAGTATATTTCGTGATGATGACCGCATGTATTCCCACTAATCGAGAGTAATACATTTGTATGGTTTATGTAAGCCAGTGTAAATGAAAATTTAATTCATGTGCACGGCGGGAAATCTATTCGTCTCGGGGTGCAGCACCAGTGGTGGAGCACGGACATTAAGCGGAGTGTACCACCGTGTTCACGCAATACTTGACTTTTGTTTTGAGTGATACTAGAAATGATGAAAGTATTAGTTAATGTGCAATGCAATAGACAAGTTTCCATAGTGTACCTCAGGAGTGCGATATTGTGTAACAACGCTAAAAAATTAAGGTTAAATAAAATATTAATTTTAAAAAAAGTACAGTAATTTAATAGACATCAGATAAAATGTCCGAACAGTGAAAACGTATTTCTCTGTTTTTTTCGGAATACACAATGATTTCCCACAAAAAAAAATGCCAGAAAATAAAAATGATTGAAGTGACGATATCTATTATAAAATCTAAGATCTGGCAGTACGGCTAATTGGACGCCTTAGCCTGTCTAAAAGGAAAAAAAATACTACTAATTAGTTAATAATTATAATAACATCTCAGTACAGAGTAACAAAAAAAACCGACATCAAAAGTTCGTAGAATTACATCTATTTGCCAAGTTTTATTGAAATAGGTTACTGAAACTGAAAGTGCGCGAAACCGGATTCAGTCCCTAGTTTGCCACCCTTAGAGGTGGAATATTTTCTTCAATTTTAAATGGGATCACTCCTGAGGTATCAGCAACAGTTTCTCCAAGGACATCTGCAATTTCGGCAAAAGTTGACCAAATTGGTCAAACACATACGTCTCGAATTAAACTAAACCAGCGTAATAGCCAACGCTCTTACATCCTTTACTCTTGAAAACCCTGCAACCTAAATATATTGGATGATTCATTACAGTAGGTAGCATCAAAAGTATTTGTATAAATATCACTACGAGTATGACATTAATTCTGAAACGTTTGTTCCAAGAATATCGAAAAGCAATTCCGCCGTATTCTCGTGAATGATACAGACTTATTTATTGTGTTACAGAGATTCCTTTACCTTTGTTTACCATTCATTTCCCGCGAAACAAAATTCCATTATGCAAGGTCTCGAGACAAGACAAGACAAGCGACAGCTCAGATTTAAAGACAAAACGTTTCAGTTTACGCAACCGATTTTCATCAAAATGGACCAACCTTAATAATTTACTTTTTACGAGTAATCTCCCTAAGTACAAAGGCTAAAGTAACACGTCAATTAAACAGTAATGTTGATAAGTAGTTGTGACGCTCATATAGAACTCGTTGTGAAAGACTTCGCCCTGGGAAGTACTGCCACCTGTTTCTGCCACCAAGCGGATGAGCACTACTGCTTTCCAGCTTAGAAGGATAAAGAATATTGCTGAAATTGCAGGCACATGGATTTGTCAACTTACGAGTATGTGTCTAGGTAACGGGCACAGTGGCAGCGCCCCTCAGATCTTTGCGATTTATAGCTTTGAGTGGCACTGCAACTGCTATGGACAGGCATGAAAGAAAATTTGAAATGTCGTTTTTGTCGTTGTGGCGTTTGCATCGCCGCTAGAAGTCGCCGTGTGTAATCGCTCTGATATTTAACTTCAATAATCCAACGTTCAAAGTGTCAAGATTGATATGGACTGTACGAAAAACGTTAAAATACAAAAGTAGCAATGTTTATTTTTTTATACTGCTCATCGTTTTTTTTATATAATGCCTATCAAATGACGGGAGGTACAAGTCGTGCGCGTGATAGTAAGCTACACGCCTGTCCTTAACAATTGCAGTGCTACTCAGAGCTTTAATTCGCAAAGATCTGAAGCGCACTTCCATTGCGCCCGTCACCCTGAGACAAAGGTTGATAAGTCCCATGTGCCTGTAATTTCACCAGCACACTTACCCTTCAAAATCGGAACTCAGTAATGCTGACATTACTGCTTGCCAACAAAAATAGGTAAGGTGGCAGTACTTCACTGGACGAACTCTTTCACAAGGAGGTCTACTGCTACTAAATAATTACGTAATAGTTTCAAAAACCTTATTGTTAGTTTGCCAATGAACATTCCAACTTACGCTACATATGACTTGCAAAATATTTTATTTTAACAATATTAATTTTTCACTAAATTAAAGTTATTAATGAAAACAAAATTAGAAATAAAATGAAACATGAATTAGTAGAACTGCAGTCATATGTCTGTTTGGTATTTTTCATCAGAGGAAATACTGGATCAAGCTGGTGGTGCAGAGATATCATCTTCCTTCTTGAAATTTGGATAATTATATTTTAATTTCAATGGCCTTTCTCAGGTATCGGAGTAGGAAACGGTCCTGTTTTGTAAGAACCTGGGGTTAATTAAACTTAATTGAATGTGTACGTGTATCCACGACGTCGTCACGACATACTCAAACTGCAGACTTTTTTGCTCGACAATGCTTTACATCAGTGATACGTTTTTTGGCGAGGGTAGAGTAGAGTAGTAGGTACGGTTTGGTTTTAGTAGCAGTATCGTTGTCCAGGAAAGTACTGCCACCATATCTATTTCAGCCGCCGAGAGGTAACGTGAGTAGGTATTACTGAGTTCCGGTGTGGAAGGGTAAGGGTGCTTGCTGGTGAAATTGCAGGCACATGGGACTTCTCAACTTGAACATCAATTGTTCTCTGAGTGACCACTGTGCCCGTCAAAGATCTTAGCGGCTCTGGCCCCTAACATCTTTGCGATTTAAAGCTCTGGGTAACACTGCAACTGCTATAGCCAGTCAGTCATTTGGTATATTTAAAAAAAATGCTTCGTTTCGTTTGCTTAATGTAAGAGAAACCTTCCTAATGGACTTGAACTAGGTGTTAATAAATGTACGCCTGATGACTTTTGCGATTTTGTCTGTAACACCTCTCACATAAGGTAAAATGGCAGGTCTTGCCACGACTGTTATTTGTTTCACAGTTTTATATTAAACAACAAATAATATTAGACATAACTGGTTGACTTTACCATCTCAGTCAGCTGTGACCATGTGACCTGTAAAAAACCCGAAACGTTGATTTGTTTGAAAAAACAAATATACGCTATTTAGATCCGAAAATATAGTTTAATTATTTATATACACAACCTTGTTCAAACAATCTCTTAACTTAAAGATGCATAGTTCCGGACCTCAACCTATCTAAATAAAAAATATAATAAACTACCAGAATATTTAAAAGCAGAACCAAACCTTAATGATTAATTAACATATTGAATTCTAAGAGTTATTACGATAAAGTGGATGAGTATTACCAGGATACATTATAATTAACGTCTGCCCCTCTCCTTTCCATGTTGGGATGCCTGTCAAGGTGCTTGTATTTACTACAAAGTATACCAAAATGTACGACAACACATGTAAAGCCCTTATAAATAAACACATTTCCAACATTATACATATAAATAAAGGAAGGGAATGTATCTACGTGAAAGTATGATTTTAAAACGATATTACGCATTAAATTCCCTTACCATTGTAAATTAACAAAAGGCACAATAAGATGTAGTTAAGTGTGACGAATAAACGCACTGAGGCAGTTAATATGAATATCTAAATATATACATGGACTTGTTTTAATTTTAAACAAGGCCGTTTTATATGCTTTAGGTACGTGGTTCGACATCTAACTGTAAAATCTTTAAATAATAATATATTTATTTATTAGTTTGCTTCAAAAATAAAGCATTATAATGATTATAATGATGTAAAATCGTTCAAAAACTTATTTTTGCCAAACCGGCAATAAGTCTGACGATCCACAGAGTAGCGGTAACACCGCCTATTAGAAATTTGCGATACTAAAGAAGTATATTATCTTTAATATAACAAATGCGTTGCTGGCCTTTAGAGATAACATCTAAGACTTCTATATGTAATTGAACTTACTCCCTACTCTTCAAATCAGCATTACTGCTTTGCAGTAGGATCGGGTATGGCGGTGGTGCTTACACTAACGAGTCGGCATGTACTGAGAACAGTAACTTAAATGCCTAAATAAAAAATATGTATCTATTTACTATTAACAAATTATCGAAATTATATGTAGTTAAAAATGCATAAAATGATTGCTGAAGATGAAAACAAAAAACGAACAAAGGCCGCAGTAAGTCAATAAGTACAGCAAGTATGATGAAAAATAACTCCAATATCTACACGGAGTTCACGCTTTATTTTATGTAAAGCAGTTACAAAGAGCGAAAATAAAAGAAAACGTTCGTGGTAAGCACTCGTATTAACGACAATGGCGTGAAATTTAACGTGATCTGACTAAAATGAACTCCGACAAATGGTTAAATGGGCGTAATTAGAACAGTTCCATCCACAATTTCATGCTTTGAATGGTGTTAGTACTGGCGGAGTATTTATTTACAGTGTTGTTTTTACCTGTTGTGATTCAGCCAGATGTTTTACATTTCAGAGGCGCGACATCCCATCGAACTGTTTTTGGCACTGATTCTGCACTATTCACTACGAACTTAGTCCTTTTTTGAGTGTATCGATGAAAATATTATATTTAATATTGTAGATTATAAAGTAAAGAATTAGACCGTGCAGTAGAGATGATGGTAAATAGTGTATTGAGGTAGCAGGGTTTCCAGGGCGCGAACCGGCGCGCGCCGCCCGCCCTGCCCACCTACGACGGAAAAACCCGAAGTGGCGTTCGGGTCGGATCGTCTTCAACGCCTGAAGCTGAAACCGTGTTTCCCGCGTGCTAATATTAGCTTTGAATTTTCGTGCGGCACGTGTGGCCGAGGCTCCGATGGAGAGTGGTCTGCCGTTTGTAACCGTCTGATGGTCGAGCGGTGGCCGTCAGTCGCGCATGCGCCGTAACAACAAACAAAAGCTATCAGCGACTAGACCTTTGCCGTATCGACTAAACTTGCACACTACCTGTTAACGATGGCTTAATTAAAAGCGTACATGTCATATCAAGCCGACGACGCGCGCAATCTGTTTTTTACTGTCTCTCAACAAACCTTCATTTTCTCCCTCCCTCTAACATTCCTCTATACCTACTTTCTGCGCATATACCTACTTATCTGGGTTGGAACTTGACAACAATACCTATTTATACGTATATAACAGAGAGAGGATACCATCCTCTACATCGTTATTCATTTGAACACAGACAAATTCTTATGTTTCAAACTATCACATGTCTATAAAGAAAAAATAAAAAGGTATTGCTCTTCATGAATCTGAAATGAACATCTAGAATTCTTCTGAAAATTGTTGAGTAGGTAATTACTTTTATAAAACATTATAAGATTTAAACTAAACAAAAGTGGATTGTTCTAGGTCCTAGAATGGCCTATTATTTTATTCCGTGAACGGATATGATTGTAACAATCGGTGCGTTTAGGCACGTACTACGTACTCAGAGTAAATAAAGCTTTGAGACTCGCAGTGCGCACACGCAGTCAATAAACTATTGTAATTTGAGCTCTGTAGGTAAATAAGTATAATAATACTATTGGTGCTGTGTCAAGAACACTGATTGATTAATCGAGTTCTTAGGCTTTCGCGATTGTTACACATTACAAATTAAGCAAAAAATTAATCTATTATTTATGGATCAAAACCGCATATATACTTTTTTCAAACAAACCAATCATATTTCGGGTCCTTTACAGGTCCCATTGACTGAGATGGTAAAGTTATCAACCAGTTATGTCACTTATGTCTAATTTATTAATGCTAACTACCCCATTCCGAATTATTACAATTATATTATTAATTTAAATACCTTATTTTTAGTTTACCAAAGAATATTTCCATTTACACTAACATTTTGCAAAATACTTTATTTTAACAACATGAATTAGTACTAAATAAAATTTATTAATTTAAAGAACATTGGAAATAAAATAAAACATACCAATAATTAGTACTGCAGTCTTGTGTTTGCTTAGGGTTTTTCATTAGAAGAAATTAATACTGATTTTTTTTTACTTACGTAATAGTGTTCATACATATATTATGAATATAGTTTTTTTATAATATCAAGTAACGGGACGAACAAGTCGTGCGCCTGGTGGTAAGCTACACGCCTGTCCATAACAGTTGCAGTGCCACTCAGAGCTTTAAATCGTAAAGATCTGAGAGGTACTGAGACATAAGTTGACAAGTGCCATGTGTCGAGTTCTTAGGTGGTCACGGTTGGTTGAGTCAACAGTGAACAGGGACCTGTAAAGGGCCCGAAACGTCGGTTTGTTTGAAAAAACATATATACGCGATTTACATCCGGACAAATAGTTTCATTTCCTAAGGACTTAGGAAACGAAACTATTTTTCCTAAGTCCTTAAGTTTGTGTGCCTGTAATTTCACCAAAATACAACGACTTTGTAACTAGGTAGGTACGTAAGTATTTAATGAATAAACGTTCTTGTCTGTGACTTTCATGATGCCAACATAGACACTTTTTTATGGAAAGTACTTACGTAAAAACGATGTGATTGGCGATGGTTCGTATTTATGAAGTTAATACCTTTTCACTCTATATAGTTTGAAACTGCGCCGCCTCTAGTCTAGGTAGCGCCCGACTACAATCAATAACCCTGACGCCTTCTAGTAGGCAAGTGATCCAATTGAAATACTTACAACTACAGTTATATTTTCCCCAGTGATAGAAAAAATTCGGGTGGTAATGGTGCAATTATAAATGATGTCGAGTTGCAGCTCGTATATTCCGCTAGTGACGCGTGCTCTTTGCAGACCCTACGCTCGTGTGCACCGCGCACCATACTCCATAAATAAAGCCGGAAAAGGTTAACTAGACCTAAATTGTAGTTTTTGCGAAATACAGATAGTATATTTCATTATTATGCGCTACACAGTAAGTAAGAAGCAAAGTAATCGTATGATAAGGTGGTGTGTTAACGACAAGGATAGAAAGTTGTGATGGGAAGCTACACGCCTGTCCATAACAGTTGCAGTGCCACTCAAAGCTTTAAATCGCTGAGATCTGAGGGGCACTGCCACTACGCCCGTCACCCTGAGACATACTAAGTTGTCAAGTAAAGTTAACTTTGTCGACAATTGAAGGAGGAGGGTGGAACTCCGTTGTACAATTCCTGTGTACCGAAATGTATCTGATAGAAAACCCGTAATAAAAAATACTTTTAACCAAAATAAGTATTATTAGTGAATCAAAGATCGAACAAACACAAAAAAAAATCCTTGGACGCGACCGAATTTAAACTAGCATCTGTCGCCTCAACGTGACTACTGACTGCTCTGCCAACGAAGCCATAAATTGAGCCAACATATCTTACGAATTTCTCTATGTGCTTGTTGCCGATCTTTGTATTGGGTTTTTAACCGCTTTTTTGTCATAGCGTTTTGCGTAGCCACGTTGAAGCGACAGACTCTGGTTCGAGTGCAGTCGAATCGAAGGAATTTTTCTTTATGTTTGTTCGATCTTTTTATCAATGAGAATTAACAAAATAGTGGAGTATTTTCTCAAATAATAGACGAAATATTAAAAAAAAACACTGGAAATGACAAGTAGTTACACTCTACTAGTTATTTACTTATAACACTTAAATAAGTAAATAAAATAAATAACGCACACACTCATAGCCCCGCACTAGGGAAACCCTGTGTTGCGGGTGCCATGGACACATACATAGAACACCACAAATTACACCCAATAAATGTAGGCCATACAAATATTTCTCCCGACCCGGGAATCGAACCCGGGTCCTCTGCGCGGCAGACCAGTATGATTCGACCACTGAGGCAATTGAAATGACTAGGAATTACAGGTTATATATTGGTATACGTGGTAGGTAGGTATATGCATAAAACAACAAACAGAGAGACAGGCGCTCTTGGTGACAAGAAACCACAAACTAGCGGTTCGCGACTTAGAATGTTACTCATAATAATCATTCGAATGGGAAAAACATTCGCCTAAGTCGAATCCAAGCACAATCATTCGACTCGAGTCGACTTATTACCGATACCGAGTGCCCCTTATATTCGGTCGGGTGTACGAGTCGAATGATTATTATGTCGGAACTACTCGGTCACCATGTCCATATTAAAACATCCCTGTTCCCGTCACATTTACGTCATTTACCATAAATCATAAAGGGCTAGTGATGCGAGCAGAAATGCTATCGAATTTATAGATAAGTAGGTAATACTAATCTAGTAATGAATGATAATTCAGACCATTCGAATACGAAAATGTGTAGTCAGATCATTCGAATACGGTAATTAGTAGGTTACTAATTTGTCATTCCAATGACAGAATTAGTAATTACTAACATGTCAAATAACGAAATCATTCGCAATAGCGCATCGCTACCGCAGACCACTATCCCTTTACTGAATTGGATGCTATAAAAACGAAAGCCATGTACCTTTTTTTTTTTTTTTTTGTTAATCCGGGGAATTTGCTTACAGACACCCCGGCCCCGCGGGGGCAGAGCCGGGGTTATGTGGGACTGGGCTGAACCCTGAAGGGGAGCAGCCCGACCGCACTAAACCCCCGGAGTGTTCCTCCTCTCCGCTGTAGGTGGGGGTACGGGTACGCTGCTGCACTCATCCGCGCCCCCACCAGCGGCTGGCCGCGCCCTGCGCAGCCCCTCCCCGAGAAGGGAGACACATCGGTCCCCCGACTCCGAATGTTAGGCTCGCCGAACACCAGACGAGCCTTCCATCCCAGGCCCCTTTATGCTGGGCAGCGAACTCCCCCGAGTCCGCTACCCAGGGGCCACGGGGGGCCAGGACAGCATCCACTTAACTGTGAAGTTCAGTGGCTGCTCCCCCAGCCCCCGCAGCGGATCTGATGACAGGCTCCGCCGCAACACCTAACGCGCTTCCGCGCGGACTCTCCGAAGAGAGTCCCTTGGAGCGCCCACCACGGGCCAACCGCCCACATTCGGCCGCGGAGGATAGGACGAGCGGCAACGACACACCGACACGTCTCTTCCCCCGCGGCCCCGCCGACACTGCATCGTCGAAAGCGGTGCAGCCCCGCCAGAGTCGCGGAGGACAGGACGAACGGCAACGACACACCGACACGTCTCTCCCCCCGCGACCCTCCTCCTCGCGCATCCGCGCGGTCCCGCTGACCAGACGAGGCCCGCGCGGAACGCCCTCCTCCTCGGGCCAGCCTACCACCATCGGCCGGCCCCGTGGGTTCCTCTTAGCTTCACCGTGGGATGAAATCGACCACGGCTACTAGAGCCCCCGGGCCACGACAAGGCGGGAACCCCTTCGGGGGGGATGTACCTTAACCTAACCGTAACCTTTCTAAAAGGTGATTAAAACAATACTTCAATAAAAATCACCTTAATCTTATTACAATCAATTCTAATTTGAACACTTAAATTAAACGAAAAGTACATTGTCAAAGCTCAAAATATACTGGTGTGTTAGTACGTCGAACACAAGGATTCAATCAAGTAATCATTTATAACTTGGAACTAATAACTGACCTGTCCCTTTTATTGTTCAGCCCACATAAATATCTTATTATACAAGTTCATTTTTTTACTTATTATGTTCTCAATTGAAGACAGAATATAACAAAGATAATAGAAAGGTGATCGACCGTCAAACGTTTCCGGTAAAAAGGTTCCGGACTAAATAATTATATCCGATGCTTATATTATGTATAACACAGAAGTAAATTGTTATATACCTGCTTGTAATTACATCACGTGTCAATCCGCAAATAGATCCAATAAATAAAATACCATTGAGTAATTTTATCCTTTCCATATAGATGAAGGACGTTTGAATAAATTTAACT